GTCAACGGACAGACAAGTTAGAGACACCGACACACATACACACACACACACACTATCAGCATATATTATTTGAAAATTATGCTGACATTTCATTAAAAAAAATAGTTGAAAAAGGAAAACTGAAATCGAACAAAAACAAACAACAAAACATATTTTAGTGAAAGGAAATAAAAAGGGAATTTCCACAGTTTTTTTTTCTACTTTAGCAACTCGTTTTCAAAAAAAATTAAACCTTACAAATTTCAAAAGTTTAAAATTCTCTTCAAGCACTCTCGTGTGCGCAAGGTGTGCACTTAGTTAAACAAATATTGACATTAAGTTTGACAAAGCACAACTTGGAACTGCTGGTTTTTGTTTAAAAAAAACGAAATTTAATTGAAAATGAATTTACACCAAAATTCATTGACCATTGTTGACAAAAGTGGCTCCCAGAGGTTGTGGCAATATCAACTTGATGCGAATTATGTTTTTTATTACTTTTATTAGATAAAAAATATCTTTATTGTGATGAATGTTGTGGAGAGATGAGTACAAAAACAAATACGCGTGTTTTTAAGTGCCCTGAGTGAATTTGTCTTAATGTAAAAAATGTAAATTAGAGTTTAGATAAATATTACTCATACTACCCGTGGTTCATTTTTTTAAGTTCATAGCGAATGGGTTGTTTACATTTTAGCTTTAAAAAAAGAAAACATATAATAAAGAAAGAAATATAGAACGGTTTTAAAATTAATCGAAAATCTCAAACATTTACAATTTTAACAAGTCAGAAATTATAGTCGGGCGAGGCCGACCATATAATACCCTACAACTGTTACAAAATTAAAATGTGATTTAGTTTTCATAATAAAGCATTTAAGTTGAATTGTACCTTGCCTCAGATATACTTAAGATATTTATTGTTGAATAAAATTGTGGACATTTAAGTCAAATTCTGAAGGGGGCTTTGTATAGGGGCTATGGTCAATTGAGACCCTATAACTATAAAATTTTTGAGGGTCATCAAGGCTACTATAGAACTTGGTTTTGCAGCTTTTTGTCGAGATACGAGTATATTAAACATAATTATGAACTTAAGAGCCTTATTCGGCGGGTTCAGTTGTATGGGGCCTAGGTGAAATAATGGACCGATGTTAACTATTTTCAAAAGGCTTCGTCTCCGATACCATAGAAGATTGTGTGCCAAATTTCATTGAATTATCTTCAAAATTTCGACCTGCTGTTTGATTACAAGGTTTACAAGCCCTATTCGGAGGTTCAGTTGTATGGGGGCTAGGTGAAATAATGGACCGATCTTAACCATTTTCAATAGGCTTCATCCCTGTGACAATAGAAGATCATATACCAAATTTCATTGAATTATCTTCAAAATTGCTAAATCGACTCAGAAAATGATTCTAAGCCGATTGGTGTACTTTAAGGTGGGTATAGACCCAATATTATTGTGCGTTACAAACATCAGCACAAACCCAATATACCCTCCCCACTAAAGTGGTGTAGGGTATAATTATGAGTTTAGTTTTGGAAGTTTTAAAGGAATTTCGAAATTCCATTTAAAATTGGTTGTAGTTTCATTTAAATGAGTTTAATCGAGTTATTAATATCTAAGGAATATCAGTGATTACTTCAACTTTTCATTCAACCTCAAAATCATTTATAGCTCCTTATAACACCGTCCTATCTTTACAACAATGAAAATCCCGGTCACTGAAAATTTTCCATTAAAAATTGATTTTCATATTAAAAACCTTTTAGTATGTAATTACAATTTACTTAAAATATTAATATTCATGACTTTGAATTTTCTAAAATATTTCTAATTGCCTTCTGCCTTAACCCTTCAAAACTTTAACCAAATTTCTTGAGTGTTAAAAAGTGTTTAAATTTTGTCCACCCTTTTTTCATGAACGTAATAGAAATTCTTTACATTTTTTTGGAATTTTGTAATTGAACTAAAATAAAACAAACATTAATCACATTTTCTTAATACCCATAAGCTTAATGGTTTTTTCTACCTCAAAAATAGTATATGTGTGTGTGTCAAAAACAAATTGTTTTCGTCAATAAATCTTTATTTTTTTTAAAAAAGCTACAAAAGCTGAATTCCTTAAAACATAATAGAATTACATACATCGTACATATAAAAGACGTAATTGATTTTTATAACTTAATGGATGTAAGTAACATTTGATGAAAGTGATAAAAAACCTTAATACATAAGGCGTTGGCGTTTGTTCGCTTGTTACTAACATGTGTAGACAGTTAGAACATAAATAAATAAATAAATGTTAAAACATGTGTTTTATTTTTGGTCACTAAATTTAACTTCAATAACTAAAAAAGCTTTATTTTTTTGTTAATTCCTTAAACAAAAACATTTATTTTTAAGCATTTTTCCTTGTTGCTCAGTCGACTGTACTCAATTATTATGATTTCTTTGTAAATAACAAAAATTGCTTATAAATCAGGAAATTATGTTAATGTATTATTTCCTTTTAAAAGATATTAACTTTAAATTTATGTGTAAAAAAATGTGCGAAAATAACAAAAAAACTGAAATAAATTAAAACATACAATAAATATGACAAAACCATAAAAGACACTCACTTTTAATATATATTTTTTTTATCTCCTACACCACTTATAATAATTCAAAAATAATGGTCCTTCCCATTTCCCACTTCCCACATTTAATCTTGTCCGTTCTAGTTTATTGACTAGACTACTGATAAGACAAGACTGAGTCTTGGCAAGACTAATGGACAATATTACACAGATCGACAAATTTTTAACTCAGAGATCAAAGTATAATTTTCTAAAGGATTATTGGGATTCGAGATATCAAGTCCAATCTTTTAGAAATGTATAACTTGGTCTCAGGCTGTTGACCAGACTATTGACTAGACTACTGACCGGACTATTACTAAGACTGTTGACTAGACTATTGACTAGACTACTGACTAAACTATTAATTAGACTATAGGCTGGACTATTAAATAGACTGTTGACTAAATTATTAACTAGGCTATTGACCAGAATATTGACTGGACCATTGGCAAGACTATTTACCATACTATTGGCTGGACTATTGATAAGGCTAATGACTATACTAGTGACAAGACTATTTACAAGACCATTTATTTACTATATTATTAACTAGGCTATAGACTAGACTATTGGCTGAACTATTGACAAGACTATTGACTAAACTGTTGACATGGCTATTGACCAGACTATTGACTATACTATTGACTATACTATTGACAAGAATATTGACTAGACCATTGGCTATACTAGTTACTATACAATTGTCTAGACTATTTACTAGGCTATTGACTAGTATATTGGTTGGACTATTGACTAGACTGTTGGCAAAGCTATGGACCAGACTAATTGCTAGACTATTTACAAAACTATTGACTGGACTATTGACCAGACTATTGACTAGACTGTTGACAAGACTGTTGACTAGACTGTTGACTACACTGTTGGCAAGGCTATTGACCAGACTATTTACAAAACTATTGACTAGAAAATTGACCAGAATTTTCACTAGACTATTGACTGGACTATTGACAAGGCTATTGTTAGGCTATAAGCCAGAATATTAACTATAATATTGACAAGACTTTTGACTAGGCTATTGAGTATATGGTTATTCATCCATGACTTAAAAAATTACACACAGTGTTATTGACTAGACTATCGAAATGACTATAGACTAAACTATTAACTATACTATGAACTAGACTATTGTCTGGACTATTGACAAGAATATTGACTAGACCATTGGTAAGAATATTGTCCAGATTATCGACAAGACTATTTACAGAACTATTGCCTAGACAATTGACCAGAATTTTGCCTAGACTTGATAGACTTGACTATTGTCTAGACTGTTGACAAGGCTATTGACTAGGCTATTGACGAAACTATTGACTAGCTTGTTGACAATGCTATTGACTATACTATTGAAAAGACTATTAACTAGACTGTTGGCAAGGTTATTGACCAGACTATTTACAAAACTATTGACTAGACAATTGACCAGAATTTTCGCTAAGACTATTGACTAGACTATTGACAAGAATATTGACAAAAATATTGACTAAACTGTTGACAAGGCTATTGACTAGGCTATTGACCATTAAATATAATATTGACAAGACTTTTGGTAGGCTATTGAGTATTGAGACTATGGACTAAACTATTAAATATACTATGAACTAGACTATTGTCTGGACTATTGACAATAATTTTGACTACACCATTGGCAAGACTACTGACCAGACTATTGACAAGAGGACTTACAAAACTATTGACTAGACAATTGACCAGAATTTTGACTAGACTATTGACTAGACTATTTGCTAGACTATAGACTATAATATTGACAAGACTATTGACCAGACTATTGACTATGCTATTGAAAATACTACTGACTAGTCTATTGGTAAGACTATTGACCAGACTATTGACAAGACTATTTACTAAACTATTGACTGGAAAATTTACCAGAATTTTGACTAGACTATTGACTAGATTATTGGCTAGACTATGGACCGGACTATTGACTAGACTGTTGACAAGGCTATTGACTAGGCTATTGACCAGACTATTGACTATAATATTGACCAGACTATTGCCTAGACTATTGACTAAACCATGGATTTAACTACTGATTAGGCTATTAATTGGACAAGGTTATTGACCTGACTATTAACTAGACTATTATCTAGACTACTGACTGTACTATTGTCTAGGGCATTGATGTATATCAAGCTGGTGTAGGGCATTACGTGTTCCTGACTTTATTTTAAAATATTATTTTTTCATATTTTTTAAGCAAAACAGCTTTTTCGCAGAAGTACTTGAAAATACTTAAAAATAGATAAATAAATCAATAACTTTTTAATAAATACTTAAAATAATTTTAAGATAAAATAATTTTATACCAAAAGAAATAAGAAATATTATTAATAGTAATAAAACACAAAGAATCTTGACAAAAAAGAAAATGTTCTAAATAAATTTCAAGTTAAGAAACACTTTTGAAAACTAATAAAATAAAAACCAAAAAAGAAAAACCTAAGAGATGGTAGCTTCTCATATAAAAAGAAAACATCTGCATAAAAGTGAAAAACCCCTAAAAGACTATTATGATGCAGTGCCAGTGTCACAGCCAGCAGTGTCAGCAGAAGCAGTTAAACAATTGAAAACAATGGATTATGCTGAAGCAATTTTGGATTATAATTTTACTAAAGTAAGCGATAACGTAGAAGACAGTGGAAGTGGTATTAATAACAAAAGCAGCAACAACAACAACAGCAACATTAACATAATGGATAATTTTAGTCATAATCTATTCGAGTTGCAACCTTTTTTAGCCAACAGCAATGGCAATCTCATTAATGCGGTCAATGATTATGGCAATTCTACTGTATCAGTGGATATATATGATACAGTTTTTAGTCCCACTGCTTACTTAACGGATGCTACCACAGCTGCCGCTGCAGCAGCTGTTACAGCAGCCAATAATAATCGAGGTCTTTTAATGGATACACTTTTGGGTTCCGTTATGACCACAGCCACTGCCACCGTTACATTGTCTCCAACAACAACATCATCATTATCGGCTTCAGCGTTAACAACTTCAGTGTCAGCATCTTTTGCAACTGCATCGTCGCCCTCATCATCCTCCGCCACTGTTTTGAGTGGTTTACAGGAGAATTTCTATGAAACCACCGTTGTTGCTGTGAACAGCATGAAGACATCATCATCGACTGCGAACAATGAATCGGCCTATTGGGAATTGGAAACGGCTGATTTTGATTTTCTCTACAGACACTCGTTGGTAATGACCATTGTCTATTGTATTGCTTACGTGATTGTATTCCTGGTCGGTCTGGTGGGCAATAGTTTTGTTATTGCTGTTGTTCTGCGCATGAGAAACATGCGAACTGTTACCAATTACTTCATTGTCAATTTAGCCATTGCTGATATCTTGGTAATAGTTTTCTGTTTGCCAGCAACATTGATGAGCAATATTTTTGTGCGTAAGTATTAAATGTTGTTGGTAGTTTTTCTATTACAATTATTGTTTTTGTTTTTGTTTTCGTTTTTTGTTTTTATTAATCAATTATTATATTTATTGCATAATTAAAGTGGACAGCAAAGAAATAACTAAAAAGACAAAAATACTTTTGTAGACATGAAACTATTTTTGGTTAAAGTGCTGGCGATAAGAACTTTAGTTGTAATTTCAGTAGATGGTAGATTAAAGAAAATTAATTGAATTGGAAATAATGTAGAAATATTTTATTAGACAAAATGTGTAAATGTCTATAGCAGTGAAGGGCATAAAGAGAAAGTGTTACACTTATAAAAAAGAAAACCGACTTTACCCCTATTCCTTTAATCGCATAATAAAGTCGAATCTGTTTATTAATTTTGTTTAAATTAGTTTGTAACTATTTGCTCTCGGCTCCTGCTTGTTATGTTGGCCGACCATTGATCTGTTTTCATACTTTGGATATGTGTTTATGCCTATTTGTCTCACCACATTTATAAAATTGTGTAATTTTTTTTTTACTATTTGAAATATTTTTGTTTAGTTTCTAAGCCGAAAAAACCAAAAAAACTTTTTGTGGTTTCGTTTTTAATTAAGCAATAGACATAAAAATGTTCGAAAGTCCATTTTATTTAAATAATTAGTTTATTAAATAATGTTTGATTGTAAATATAAAACATTTGGTTTTCTTTTTTATCTAATAGGACTATAAAAGTTCCACATTTGTCTAAGGGGAATATTTTTTATTTTTAGCCAAAGTTTTACATAAAGACTTATTAAATTTAAATGTGTATAAAATTTTAATTAAATGTAAATTTAATTCCCTCCAATAAATGTCATTTGTAATAAAAATGAACCAATTTTTAATTAAAAATATCCCAACTTTCAAAGAAGGAAAGAAAATGAATAAAATTTACTATATTAAAAGGGTTTAAATTTTTTATAGGTTTGATTGAAATTTGAATCCACCCTCATAAGCCTAATAATATGCAATTAAATCTTAGTACAAGTGGATGTCAAGGTAGACTGTAGAATGCTCATTAGAGGAGTCCAAAAATAATGATTTTGATTACTGGTGTAAAATTTTAGTCAAATCGGATAACGGGAATCCTTGTCGGAAATCGACCTCTATTGCTGATATTCTTTACAGTTTCCCTTTCCTTAATATATTCTTATAAATATTATTCAACTCTCCATCTTAACGTATCTGAGATATTTCTTTATGTTATGTTTCTTTATGCAAAATTTAAGTACACAAGGGATGTTAGATCGTCTCTAATACAGGTTCGAAATTTCACTAAAATTTTAAATATTACAAGAAATTCGAAATTAAACTAAAAATCAAAATTTTTTAGTTACATTTTACTAGAAAAAAAAGAAATTTCGAATTTTCACTAGAAATTCGAAATTAAATAGAAAATCGAAATTTCATTAGAAATTCGAAATTTCACTAGAAATTCCAAAATTTCAGTAGTAATTCGAATTTTCCCTAGAAATTCGAAATTTCACTAGAATTTCGAAATTTCACTAGAAATTTGAAATTTCACTAGAAATTCGAAATTTCACTAGAAATTCGAAATTTCACTAGAAATTCGAAATATCACTATAATTCAAAATATTCCTAGAAATTCGAAATTTTACTAAAAATTCGAAATTCCAAAATTTCACTAGTAATTCGAATTTTTCATACAAATTCGAAATTTCACTATAAATTCGAATTTTCACTAGATATTCGAAATTTCACTAGAAATTCGAAACTTCACTAGAAATTCAAAATATTCACTAGAAATACCAAGATTTTACTAGTAATTCGAATTTTCCCTACAAATTCGAAATTTTATTAGAATTTAGAAATTTCACTAAAAATTCGAAATTTCACTAGAAACTCCGAAATTTCACTAGTAATTCGAATTTTCCTTACAAATTTTACTAGAATTTCGAAATTTCACTAGAAATTCCCAATTTTACTAGAAATTCTCAATTTCACTAGAAATTCCCAATTTCACTAGAAATTCCCAATTTCACTAGAAATTCGGAATTTCACTAGTAATTCGAATTTTCACTAGAAATTCGAAAATTTACTATAAATTCGAAATTTCACTATAAATTCTAAATTTCACTAGAAATTCTAAATTTCACTAGAAATTCGAAATTTCACAAAAAAACTCGAAATTTCACTAGAAATTCAAAATATTCACTAGAAAATCCAAAATTTCACTAGTAATTCAAATTTTCCCTACAAATTCGAAATTTTCCCTACAAATTCGAAATTTTCCCTACAAATTCGAAATTTCACTAGATTTTAGAAATTTCGCTAGAAATTCAAAATTTTCACTAGAATTTCCAAAATTTCACTAGTAATTCAAATTTTCCCTACAAATTCAAAATTTCACTAGATTTTCGAAATTTCACTAGATTTTCGAAATTTCACTAGAAATTCGAAATTTTACTAGAAATTCGAAATTTTACTAGAGATTCGAAATTTCACTAGAAATTCAAAATTTTACTATAAATTCAAAATTTCACTAGAAATTCGAAATTTTATTAGAAATTCAAAATATTCACAAGAAATTCCAAAATTTCACTAATAATTCGAATTTTTCCTACAAATTCGAAATTTCACTCGAATTTTGAAAATCCACTAGAACTTTGTAATTTAAATAAAAATTCGAAGTTTCAGTAATTCAACATTTTACAAGAAATTCTATATTTAATTAATTATAAATTTCACTATAAATTCGAAATTTTACTAGAAGTTTAAATTTTACTAGAAATTCGAAATTTCACTAGAAATTCGAAAATCAAAATTTGAAAGAAAAATTCATAAATTCATGCATTCTGTCGAAACTTTAAAATTTCACTATAAATTCGACTTTCACATTCCATTAGACATTTATATCTTCAGTAAGTGAGATGGTTCGCATTTAAAAAAATGTAGGTCAAGCGTATATACATTAAAAACTTCTATGAAAAACTGTATACCCACTGAAATCACATTGATATCAGTGATTATAAATCAAAACTGTCTAGAACATTATTTTTAAAGAAAATTTGCTTAATAAACCTTTGCAGTAAGGTCTTCTGAGGTCTGCTTTTTTGTCTACTTTTTACAACATATTTTTAAACTCATTATAAATATTTAATATCTTAAGAAGGACCATGTAAATATAGACACAGACTGATAGAAAGACAGTAAGCAAATTAAATAAAACTTTTAAGAATTGTTAAAAGTGTAAATGACAGATGTCAATTGCGAGTGCTTGGCATTAGGCCTACAAAGCATAAAGGCTATTTATCAAATAATTGGCAGATTTTGTGACAAACAAATTTCATTTTCTTTTCATGATTATTATGAAAATGCACAAAATACTCAAAATCAGCAAATAAAATTTGGTCGAAAATAATCAATTGGCAGGCATTTGTATTTTGTTTAGAATAACATTTGCAAATGGCAGCATTAACTTTTAAACTCACATTATGTTTTCTTTATTTGTTAAAAAAAATATTCGAACCCAACATAAATACAAATACATACATACATATTTATTTAACTTTTACTGAAGAGTCGTTCAACTTAAACCAAAAACTAGCAAACAAAAAGTGTAATAAAAATAAAAGCAAAAGGATAAAAGGGGAAATAGTACGAATAGCCATACGAAAACAAATATTCAAATCTAATGGTTTTCATTTAAATAAATATTATTATGAATCAGAAAAGGATCTTAAGAGCGTTACACACCATAAAAATTCAATTTTGTTAACATAATCCCTTTAAATTAAGCTGGATAACAAGAGCTGTTAGAAGAAGAAAAAAAAAACACAACAACATTTGCTCCATTATAATAAAGGCCTAAAAAAAGGACATTTCACATCATACCCCAACAGAAAACTGATAATAATGTCATTTTGTTGTTGTTAATGAAATTCCTCAATGGTTTTCCTTTTTACTATAAACGAAAAATAATAGTCAAATAAAACAGGGAGGAAGTAGCGTAGGAAAAGGGAAAGGAAGACACACTAAGAAGCTAAAACTTACACAAAAATAAACGTTTTGTGGCAGGACCAACAACAACAACAATAACAACAAAAAAGTAACATGTCTACACAAATTATTTAAAAGTATTTGTTTGTATACAATGACACTTTTTTCTTTCTTTTAATTTCATTCATTCAAACAAAACAAACAAAAACACTCTCACTAACAAGCCCACACTCACACTCTCTTACACATTAACATCCCACAGTGGTATAGGAAAAAAAAAAGAGGGAAATAATTCGGTAACTTCTAAACGGTTAATCCGATTTTAATGAAATTTGGTGTGCACAAAGAGGAGGTGTTGTCGAGTTTAGGTTTTGAATTTGGACCTTATAGGCCAACCAGGGGCCCGGCGGGGGGTCATCAAATTAGGACACCTCGGCTATGTTAAATTTTTAAAACGATCCTATTTCTTCATTTGAGTTCCGATTTAAAAAAAATTTCGTATATAGAATCTCCTCATCGAGCACTATAAAAAATGTCGTCGTAGCAGTAAATTATCTCTTATAGTTTAGGAGATATTCGCATTTGAATATTAAAATTTTAAAATTTTTACCGTCCTTACTTTAGTTTTTTTGATAATAGCAGGTCCAAATATTTCCGATTTTCGCCATTTTTTTTTATTTGCTTAACAACAAGTTTATATACCAAGCAGTGAAAGAATTATGTAAAAATCATGACTGAGTCCAAAGTTATAGGCATTTAAATTTAAAAAATTAAAAAAAGGCGATTTTTTGTCATTTTTTTGGGAAAAAAGTATCTTTTTCTTTTTAAGTTATCTAAAAAGTTTCTAAGAAGATGTATATAGAATTTATACTTTTTGGAAAGCTGACTTTACATAAAATACGATAAATGAAACAAAACCTAAAAATTTTTGATACCGAGGGGACCAGGTCCATCCAAAAAAACCCTATTTTTTATGGAAAATTAAATTTTGAGCAAAAATTCTC